ACCTGTGGCACCTTCAAAAGGCTTATTGGAGTTCAGTTCCCATCAGTCCCAGCCAGCTAACTCAATGGCAACGGTGGACCTTGTGCTCCAGAGTATTTATAGAACCCGCCGTTGCCCAGGTCAGGTCTGAGAAACACTCCTGAAAAGTGTCGTGGAGTGGCAAAGGACTTCCTTACCTGCTGGTGTTTTCCTCATTGTCTGAGTCCACAAAGCTGCTGGATTCGAGTTCGCTGCTCATCACAGTGGAGGAGCTATCGTAACCGGGTGGAGGCTCCCAGAGTCGGTCAAGTTTCGGATGCCCATTGATGCGAGAGACTGCAGAAATCCAAAAAGGTTAATGGGCAAAGGTCATCGGGGTGGGCTGGGTTGACACCAAGTGGGCAACAGGTGCAACTGCCCTGATGCAAACAGCATAGGGTAGTGGTTAGTGACTGAAATTCCCATTGCTGCTTGGCCAACTGAGGTCTTTGGAAAGAGCAGAAGCTACACTACAGAGCCTAGTCACAAACTAGAGTGTAGTAAACTACTGCACAGAGTGGTAAACTACTATACTTGCGGGTGTTGAAGTCCACAGGTTGTAAAGTTGCCGTGGTTGCCCGCTCCTGAGGTAGACCACTTCAAACTACCTCCACTGCTGCTGGTAGGTAGCAGCAGCCTTACCACAAGTATACTCAGGAGAGTGTGAATCTAAAGGGATTTAGCATTCAGTCTAGAGAACATTCTTTGCTATTCTTTGATCTGGTGAGCAAGTTTGGGCATCTCCAAATGCTTTTTATTTCCTGGAAGGTCTGCCAAACTGAATTTACGGATTGCAAGGGTAGGGAAATCTCTCTTATACGTGAGCAGGATGGGAAAGCACGGACAGCTTAGCCCACTACTGATTCCTCATTCTTTTGGTTTCCCCCAGAGGAAGAGAGAAAAAAATATCTGGGTCTGTTCCCACCTAGTAGAGAATTAATGGCCCACATCACTTGCTTACGTGGTCTATTTCTAGGAGGAGGAGGAGGAGAGAGAGAAAAAGGGAAGGGGTGAATCTGTAGCCAGAATCTGAAGAAGAAACTGGACAGCCATTTGTCCAAAATGGTATAGGGTTTCCTGCCTGAGCTGGGGGTTGGACTAGATGACCTCCAAGGTCCCTTCCAACTTTATCATCATCATCATCATCATCATCATCATCATCATCATCATCATCATCATTATAAATAGGTTGGATTTTCTATTTTTCTATTTGATCACCGCTGTGTGATTGCTATATGCTCAAAAACGAAAAGACCCTGAAATACCCACATTGCAGGAACGGTCGGTGAAGATGACAAACTAGTAGAGATGGCGAAATTAACTTAGGGAAAAATTAACAACTACAATTATTGGCAACTGGAAACTTTTTATGGACTAATAAAGCCCCTAAAATGAACAGTGGCGACATTGTGGCAGGGAGTCCCACAAGTTAATCATGTACCAGTCCAGGTACTTCTCGTCTTTAGAAAAGGGAGCTACATTTTGGATCCCCAGGGAAGAAATCAAATTGTTTGCTCACTCTGTTAAAAAAAACAAAACAAAACACCACACTTCTGCAAAAAGTCGACTTAATCCCCAGCCCTAGTGAAAATCAAAGGGTTTGGATTTAAGCACAGATCCCTCCCATAAGCTGTGTCTTGATTAGGCAGAGCTACAGCCAAATGTTTTTGGTTTTGAGGATTTTGCTGGTGCAGAGAACAAAAAGAACGGCTGCGCTGCTAATTCACTTATAAGTCCTCCGCAACGGCCCTGCGTCTCATCGCTTCTCAGTTGCCAATTCGAAAGGCTTCCCCTGCAGACTGCAAGCGCCTAGGTGCAAAGTATGAAAAACCTTCAACTCCCTTTTATGTCTTCTTGACCAAAACCTACCTGCTTTCCCAGAGAGTTAGCCTCTTGGATACCTTAAAAAGGAATCCCTGAACTAATCCCCAGTCCAATTTCCACCATCCGGTAGCAATTAGAGGATTTCCCATTTGCCATGCCCCACTTTGGAGATAAGCGAAGCAGAATGGAGATTCCCGTTTGGGGGGGGGGGGGCTGCTAGAAATCAACCATTCCTTTCCAGCCAGACAGCTGAAACAGAAGCAAGACTTAAAAAAAGGAAAAGAAAGAAAGAGAGAGAGAGGGAGGGAGGGAGGGAGGGAGGGAGGGAGAGAGAGAGAGAGAGAGAGAGAGAGAGAGAGAAGTGATATATAGGCAACCAAAGGCCCTTTCAAAGCCAGAATAACCTAGCAAGACTCGTCCTTCCAAACTTTGCTGATTCCCAACTCTTAACATCCCTTGCTAATCACCAGCTAGCCTTGAAATCCCCGCTCAGCTACATTTGGAGTCTGACAGCATGAATGGCACAAATACACACTATTTGAGCCACGTGTTACTGCCTGGATTTGTGTCCCCTGTGGCAGTTCCAGAAGTAGGACGGAGGGAGGCTGTGATAAGAGACTCACGCTTGTCCTCCTTCTGGCCTTCAGCATTTATTAAGCGGCTTAGAAAGACGTGGAGGAAAACTGAGTTTAAAAAAAAATAATTAAATGGGCAAGTCACCCTCCTTCAGTCTTTGGCTATTAAATGAGGTGGTTAGGGCTCCTGGACCCTGAAATCCTGAGCATCTGCCTTAAGGCATTTAGGCATTGGGGTCTGCCAGAAAAATGCAACCAGGAGGACCACAGAGGACAGCAAGATAAAGAAGTCGTATGGGAAGATTACTGAGGGATGGGGGGGTAGGAAATAGGAGGAGCTCAGGGAACAGAGGCTCAGCTGGAAAAAAAAGAAAGCTTAGAATCATCTGGCAGGGAGCAGGGAAATGCAGGCCTGCATCTTTTGGCAAGAAGACTATCTGTGGCTATCCAAAGATCTGTGTCCTTCTCCTGTCCTGATCTCTGTGTTTGGATTCCCCTCGCCAACGGGAAACTAAGCTGGCTTTTTCTGCCTCATTCTTAAGTTGCAAGAGAATTTCCTCTGGTGAGGCTTTCCTCCTGTGAAGGTGGCAGAAACTGCTAAGAGTTATCAGGGCTGTGGTTGATGCACCTGGGGTCGTTCAGCAGCCAGCCTAAGTGTCAAAAATGCCCTCTTGGAGAGAGACTGAATGGAAGCTAAGAAGCCAAGGTGGTTGCAGACAACTGGAGAGAAGATAGTGCCTCCCCCCCCCCAATCTCTCTCTCATACACACACACACTTCATTGATAAATAAATGCAAGCCGTGCTGCTATGCCCAGCCAGAGAAAATACCATTAAAACACATCTTCATCTTTAGGAAAAAGAAATCTGGAAAACAATTCCCTTTCCCATCAAACTGAATGTGGAGTCCAGTTGGAGAGATGCCGGAGGTTTGAATACGACACGAATGAAACCATCACACACACACACACACACACACACACACACACACACACACACACACACACAAAGACCAACCGGTCGCGCCTCATTATTTGCTGCGGACATTTCAAGCAGCCATCTGCTGATTCCCTCTGCCTTTGGGGGATGCCCAACATGGATTGCCAGGTTCCGACAGTCAAATCCACCTCCTTGCCTTCCCCGGGGAAAATGGACCAGGAAGAGAACAAGCAGTGAAATGATGAGGGTGACATTTGACCCCCATCCATGTCCCACGTCTGAACAAAACGCCATTTCTTAATTACCTCTCTAATCAGAGCTTTCCCTCCCCTGCGCCTCTTTAGGAAACAGAAGAGGCGGGCTTGGTAGCTACAAAGAAGCCTCAGTTCCTAATGAGGACCCCAAACAGACCTCCTAAACTTCCAATTAAGTATTCTGCTTTTCCCTTTTAATCAGAATTGGTCAATTGTCTCAACCTTGCACGGCGTTTATTGTTTCAAACCAGGGTGAGGGACTCGGCCCTCAGTCCTGCTGTGACAGCAGGCATATTGCTTCCCATTAAAGTAAAATAAAACACCACCAAACTCACAGACAGGAGCTCCCTTAATTAGACCCCAAACAGGGATAAAAGCAGATTTTGGCACAGGAGGAAAATACAGCCCATCTCTGGCTTGTTTCCATACCCCCACCCCCCACCCCCTTGTCAGCGCAATTATTCCTCAGCAGAAAAGGACTTGTCCCCTCCTGCAGGCTTGTTTTAGGATCTGTGTGCCCAAGACCAACGCTGGCATGACAGAAGAGAGCTGTTGCCTGCTGCTTCACAGATGGCACAGCTCCCTCCAAAGAAAAAAAGAGTGAAGAGGGCATGAAGACAACTACAGAGGGCATCGTTCCGAAGAAGGCTGGGTTCTGAAATGGGCAGCATTCTCACAAAGAGTACGCAAAGAGTCTCTCTCTCTCTCTCTCTCTCTCTCTCTCTCTCTCTCTCTCTCTCTCTCTCTCTCTCTCTCTCTCACACACACACACACACACACACACAGCAGTGCAGGCAAACCAACAATCCCAGATTACTTGGTACTTGAGAGAGGTTCGATCCTAGCATTCACGGGTAAGGCTGCAGAGGACCCGGCTGCTGGAGGAATTGACATAAAACACCCTCTAGATCTTGAGGGAATGTTTAAAATACTAAAAAAAAAAAATGTACCCCCCCCCCCCACACCCCCGCGGAAAAGAGAGAAAAGTGGGAACCCTAAACAGCCTGTCATTTCGCCTTCTAGCTCCTAAAAAGGCCATTTGCCCCTGATTGTGGTGGTATAAATAATTGGGTCAGTCCTGATTAAATCAGAGGTGGAAGACGACGAGAATATCGAAGGCCGGACTGTTGAGGTTTGGCAAGTTAAACAAATATCTCGGGCAAAAGCAGCAGCACACTACTTCCACCTTCTTGCCAGGAAAACAACCACCAAACGGTCCATGAAGGCACCAGGAGTTAAAAGTCAAAAAGGAGATCCTGCTTTTTTTTTAAAAAAAAAACACAACAATTTAGACATCCCATACGAACTTGCCTGCTTATTGAGAACACATGAGGAATGTTTGTTTGCAGCCATTACATGCCTCTGAAGGTATTGTAGGACTGGGCGTTTGCTGAAGCTGCTCCAGACCTTTGCCACGGACACCTTAAAAACTTTTCTTTTTCAGACCTGATTTTTCTCTGCAAATCCTCTTAACGATGTGTTTTAATCTCCCGGCTAATCTCAGAAATGCAGGCCAATCCAAGGCGTCAGAGGCAAAGGAGAAGAGCCAAACTTACCATCTTCGTGACCTTCTCGGTTCCTCCGCCGGTGACGATCCCGCCGGTGGCTGACAACTGACTCGGTTCCTGTTTCGTTGTCCAGCCCATCTCGGCTGCTTGAGGCGTTTGGGCTGGGGAAGAGGAAGGAGAGATGGCATTCAAGGCGGTGCACACACTAAGCCAGGCTGTATGGTTTATATGGAACCCTTTAATAAATCTCCATTATTATAAGCTAACCAAAGTCTCACGACTTTTAATAAAAATGTGTTAACTGGAAAAGGTGCCAGCAGATTCCTTCCAATTAATAAATCTTCAACTACTAAACCCATTATAAATTGTGGATGTGCTTCAAGGCCAGATATATATATATATATATATACAGGGCTTTTTTTCTCAGAGAAAAGGTGGTGGAACTCACCTCCCTCCCCTGGCCACGCCCCCACCCAAACCTGGCCACGCCCTCATCAAACCCTAGGACCGCCCCTTTAGAGAACAGGAATGCAAGCCTATTTCCCGCGCTTGGTGGGAAACCCCGCCCTCCTCTGCTCCAGTCCGCCTGCTGATTGGCGCCCGAACGGNGGCAGGGTCGCCTAGGAAACGGGCCAGGGGCGCGCCGACCGAGCCTCCCTATGGCCGCGGTTGTGAGCCAGGCAGGGGCAGAGAGCTGCGAGTGCGAGCGCGCCCCCCCAGATGTTGCGCCCGGTGCGGCCGGCCCGGAAAAAGGTGCCGGAACGCGGTTCCGCCGCGTTCCGGCTGAAAAAAAGCCCTGTATATATATCAAGAAGAATATATGAAGACAAATACACATAGTCCTCAACTTACAACAGTTCATTTAGTGACTGTTTCTTGGGAATGACTGGGCCTTTTTAACTGCTACTGTTCGGCTGCGTTCACACAAGTGCATTCACCGCCTTCTGGTGAATGTGGTAGTAGACAGACTCAAAAAGCAAGTCTTCAGTTGTTCATGTGTGTCTTAGGGCAGTGGTGGCGAACCTATGGCACGGGTGCCAGAGGCGGCCCTCGGAGCCCTCTCTGTGGGCACACGTGCTGTCACCCCAGTCCTAAGCCTTCAGCTGGGTTTTATAAAACCTTTTCGCTTTAGGCCTCCGCCGCTGTGTGCAAAAAAAAAAAAAAAAAGGTTCAATCAATTAATTTCAACTTCTTGCGGGAAAAAAAAGATCTTGCAAAGTTGGAATTGATTGATTGAACTTTTTAGTCCCAACCAGTCTGCCGTTACCACTGTAGCCACGCCCACCCAATGGGCCACACCCACCCAATGGGCCACGCCCACCCGGCACTCAGTGATGCATAAGTGGATTTTGGATTACAGTTTGGGCACTCAGTCTCTAAAAGGTTCGCCATCACTGTCTTAGGGAAACTAAAAAAAAAGCCATCTTCTCAGATCATGCAAAGGAACAGCCAGGAGAGGGCAGAAACATCACTGCAAAAGAAGGAAGCAGGCTGGCTGAAGCAATCAATCTCTCTCTCTCTCTCTAACTGTTCTAGGCGGAAATGCTACACTGGGTGTGACCCATTCCCAGGAGGGGGGGGGGAGTGGAGAGATTGTTCTGGACTCAGAGCTCCTGATTTTATCAGATTCCTTGTTTTATTATTATCATCGGCATTATTTTTAACTCAACTGGTTAACCCTTGGTTAGGTTGTCCCACTCTTTAAACCGAGTGCAGGCCAAACTGTTAGTCTTTTTAGAAACTGCTTTATAAGAATGTTTGAAGTAGGAATAAAGACACCTGTGACCCTCCAGATGTTGACCTGCTGCAATGCAGGTAGTCCTTTACTTACAACCATTTGCTTAGTGACCATTTGAGTTACAACGGCACTGAAAAAAGTGACCTATGATGGATTTTCACACTTACGGCCGTTGCAACATCCCCACGGTCACAGGATCAAAATTCAGTCACTTGGCAACTGGCATGTATTTATGACGGTTGCGGTGTCTCGAGAGCATGTGGCATTTGTAAACTTACCAGTTTACAAGTATAGTCAATGGGGGAAGCCAGATTCACTTAATGACTGTACGATTCACTTAACAACTGTGGTGATTTGCTTAATAACTGTGGCAAAAAAAGGTCATAAAATGGGGCAAAACTCTCCTAACAACTGCCTTGCTTAGCAATAGAAAATTTGGGCTCTATTATTGCGATCGTAAGCCGAGGTCTACCTGTATCTGCATGAACACAAATCCACGTCCAATGACTTTTTAAAAAAAAAAAGGTGTTAAAAGACATGTTTCTGAAATATCCCATGAATACATTATTTCTCAAGCCCTGTTTTGCACAATCACCTTTTCACTAGCTTTGCCTGACCATTTTAACAAATATTCTGAATAGAGGGGAAATATTTTGTCCGCGGGGAGAGTCGCTCAGTCAAAGTTGCCCGCATTTTTCCAAAGCTGAGTTTCGCAACAGGGATTCATCCAACCTGCAGCACATTGGATATTACCATCTAAGCCCGTATCTGATCATTGTGTGATGCCTGTGATTGAACACAATCCCTGTTTGCTTCTCCCTATCTGATGACATGCACCGCCTTCCCTCACCAAGGCAGTCAAACTAGAGTAGGAAACAGTCTTCTCTACGGAAAAATGATTATTTGCAAAGAGCAAGCCAGCATCTCAGGGAGAAGACCCAAAGAGTGGACAACTTGAGGGTTTCCAGCTTATGCTGGACTACAGTTCCCATCTTCCCTGACCATCGGTCATTCCAGCTGCTGGAAGTGGAGAGAGCAACACCTTCCACAGATTTCCCCATTTCCCCACAATTTTTTTTTTAAGCTCTGGAAAATACGCCCAGGTTAATATTGCATGCAGCAGAATGAGCATGTGTTGAGATGTTTAAATCGAACCATACTGAAAGGAAGGCGGGCGAGAGTCTCCGATGCCTCCGGTTCGCTCAAGGGGAGGAGGAAGATCCGCGTGGCTTTCTGCGCACTGCGATCCGCCATCTGAATGGGAGCTCTCGGCCAAGACCAGCTGCAAGACAAGGAGGTGAATTAAATGAGGAGGTCAGGACGAGGATACACCACCTTCCGTCCGCAACTTCATGCTGTGAAAAAGAGTGCCTTGTTAACCATCATTCTGACTTCTGTCTCTTCCTGAGTGGCTTGCTAGACCGAAAAAGGAGAATTGCCCGTCTGACCCAGATACTAAACAATTGCACTTAGGGAAATCCAAACTTTCTAACTGCAGGTGATGCAAACAGAATCCCTCTCTGAGGAAGATGGGCGATTCAGAAATGTGAAATACAAACACACAAACAAACAAATAACAAGTTGGCTACTTCAGAGAAGAGCAACAAAGATGATTAGGGGACTGGAGGCTAAAACATATAAGGAACGGTTGCTGGAATTGGGTATGTCTAGTTTAACGAAGAGAAGGACGACGGGGGACATGATAGCAGTCTTCCAATATCTCAGGGGCTGCCACAAAGAAGAGGGAGTCAAGCTATTCTCCAAAGCGCCTGAAGGCAGGACAAGAAGCAACGGATGGGAACTAATCAAGGAGAGAAGCAACCTAGAACTAAGGAGAAACTTCCTGACAGTGAGAACAATTAACCAGTGGAACAACCTGCCTCCAGAAGTGGTGAATGCTCCAACACTGGAAGTTTTTAAGAAGAAACTGGACAGCCATTTGTCTAGAATGGTATAGGGTTTCCTGCCTGAGCAGGGGGTTGGACTAGATGACCTCCAAGGTCTCTTCCAACTTTATCATTATTATTATTATTATTATTATTATTATTATTATTATTATTATTATTATTATTACTTTATCGCTCACGGCACAAGAAGCAGGACTGTATTCAAAGCTAGTCTGAGTCTCAGTTGTGTCTGTTTATCTTCCAGCCTGAGAGATGTCTCGCCCGAACAGATGCCCTTCCCAAAGCCAGTCTTTCTTCCATGCTCATACTATAATGAGGTTCAGCACAAAATAGCTGCATGTTTTCTCATCCCGGCGAAGCCCGCCTCTCCCCAGTTTCGAAAGAGTAACCCCTGGGGAAATGTTAAAAGAATACTAAAGGCAAAACCCGCCAGTGACAGAAGGCATAAAATTGATATTCCCCGAGCTGATCTGCAGGGAAAAATGTTCATCGGGAAGAAATGTCAAAGAGGTGGATTGACAGAATGGCGGGGAAAATACCAGGGGACCATCTACCCCTCTGGCATCGTTTTTGCTGATGAAAAGGTTTGCGTGAATTAAAAGGAGGAGGGGAGGGGGGGGAAATCAAAGAAAAATGCAAATGTTACATGTGTTTTTTCTTCTTCCCTATTAGGTCCCTAACAGGGAAATGCTTCCCCAAGAGAGAGTGAGAATTCAATGTAGGTGGTTTTTTGAGGTGGGCGTGAATGACGTCTTCATTTAAAGACTAACAAGACAAATGAGCGTAGAGAGAAAAAAACGATAGGACTGGAGGGAAAAAAAATACAGAGATTGGAGCAGTCAAGTTAGTGAGCCAAAATCCACACACACCCTTAAAAAATAATAATCTAGTTTTTGTTGTTCTAAAAATATGCTGTAAAGTGGGTAGGTAATGTCTTTTAAAAGATCTGAAGACCCGCCAATTCTAATTTGTAAAGGGACAGAAAACCAAGGCTTAATACTTTGCTGGACAAATTGAGAATTTAAAGCTAAGGCTTTGCCCGTTGCAGGGATCCTGGGCACGTGCAAAGGGCAAAGCCAACCCATATAAAACACAATGTGAGAGCTTGCATGGGTTTTAATCATATAAAGAACACAGTGTGCTTTTATTTTTCCAACGCATAGCCATCTAAGACTACCATAATCTAGATTTAGATTAAGACTTAAACATCGGAGACCGAGGTTTGGGGCTGTACAAGACAAGATCAGCTCTAAGGGACAATTCTCTATGGAACAGGCCACCGTGCTAAAGTATGTGTTTCCTTCCGTTCAGAGAAAGCCATTGTTACTCCATGATGGATTGCTTGCGAACTGTTTTTCACCCATCCCTCTGCCTTGCTGTTTTTCGGAACAATCTAAAGCCGAATAGATTTTATCCATTTATCGGAATCAGTAGCAGACCTGGGAAAGAACCATGCTCGTGAAAAGGAGAATCATACCACGGAGTCTTGCGGGGGGCGGGAGTACCACCCTGGATGGCGGGATGCGGTTGTTGGTAAAAAAAAAAAAAAGCATGACATCATCCTTGGCCAATCAGGAACTAGTGCCAAAGCCAAAGCGGCGAATCAGCTGGGGTTTTTCCCAAGAGGGGGAAAAAAAAATGACATTCCGTTATTGCAGCCGATGAAACAGAAAATTGCCTACAATGGCCAACCCACTGTGCGCAACCTGTGTCAGCCGGCACGCCGCCCCAGACAGACAAGGGGCTTTTCGGCAAACAAAGTCAACCTCAGCAGGGTGGCTGGCGCATGGATTCATGCGCCGAAAATTGGAGGAGGCTTTCAAAAGCGGGGATCAAAATCGCAAACCATTGAAGGCAATTAGCGAGGCATTTAGAACGGGCTGCGGACAGACCCCGCAGTGAGGCGAGGTGGGCGTTTGCCACAGAACACGAAGGGAAGAATTCGTCATCGGAGCAAAAAGAACTCAGCATCTGGTGAGAGGCTTGCCCCTCAGAGTTGTGGCTGGGGGAACAGCTAATGGTCACCTGTCCTTGCATCCTCTTGTGTCTCGTGGGTTTTCTCTTCTAGAGATATATCAGATGCACCCAAGACCTGGCAAGTGATGGGTCCCATTTTGTAGAGACCCGCCCCCAATTGCGTCTTTTGCCCGCATAAATGATCTGGGCAGAAGTGGCTCCACGTACCCAGGACACGACACGTCCGTTGAAACACGGGAGCTTTGCGTTGTCATCCGAGATCTCTTCCTTTACCACCCTGGGAGAAAAGAAAGAAAGAAAGAAAGAAAAAAGAAACATCAAGGCTTTCCATTGGATGATAAACCTAACAAAGCATAGGTAAAAGGTGAGACAGGAGCCCACAAAGGTTCAAATGTTAGAATGTCAGGGTCAGTGGTGACAACTGGGCTGCGTTTATTTTACTGCATCACAAATACACAGAATAACAGAGTTGGAAGGGATTTGGGAGGTCTTCTATAGTCTAACAACCCCCTGATCAGGCAAGAGACCCTGTACCGTTTCAGACAAATGGCTGTCCAGTCTTTTCTTAAAAACCTCCAGTGATGGAGCACCCACAGCTTCTGAAGGCAAGCCGTTCCGCTGATTAATCGCTCTAACTATCCGGCAATTTCTCCTTAGTTCTAGGTTGGGTTCTCTCTTTAATAATTACTTCTTGACCTACCGTTCAGGTGCTTTGGATAATAGGTTGTCCCCCTTTTCTTTGTGACACAGGAACAACTTAATCCCCTGAATGAGCAAAAAAAAAAAAAAAAAAGGGCCTTGCATCGTCTCACCCTCTTTTGGAAGCCTCTCTAAGCCCTTGTGGAAAGAAAAGGAAACATCATTCGCTTGAAGACAGCGTGGGAAGGAAGCCGGCAGAAGAGAGCACGGCACCTATGTCTCTTTTCACTTTATTCCCCTGTCTGGGGCAAGTGGCAAATCTGCACAGGCCTGTACAGAAAACGCCACTCGCTTAGGGCAAAAAGGAATTCCTGCCAGGCAACCAGGCGGAACGAAGGTGGCATTTAGTGATAAGAGGCTGAACCTGATCAAGCAGCTTTTTCACAATTTCAGGCATCACACTCGTGTCTGGGCACCACCCAGGGAGGTTTGGTCTCAGCATGGTGAAATCAGAAATGTCAGCCTTCCTATAAAGGGGACCATAGACAACATCTTGAAAACTCTCCCAGTCTGGTGAAGACAAAGCTTTGACTTCTGACTCAGCCTCTCTTCCCAACGCAAAGACATCGAAGGTCAAGTCAAGCACAAAGGAGGGTAACGATTCCTTCCAGATCAAGCTGTCAGGCTAGCCTGTGGTCCAGGATCTCCTGGTGGTCTTCCATCCAAGTACAAGGATGTGAGAACACCAGAAGAATCTGAGGATCTAAACCAAACTGGGATGTTTGGAAAGGGTTCTGGAAGGAGGTAGTGACAAGCCGAGAGCCGAGTTCAACTCGGTGTATTGCCATTTTTAAAGACAAACGCTAAACACTAACTTAAATATTAATATTTAATACATTGGCTATGTCCAATGAGGTTTACCCATCTTTGTTTCATTAATGAATTTAGAGTGCTGCAGAGAACTCCTGAAATGAATCTTTTTTAGCTTTATATTGCAAAATGAACCACGTGGGGGAGTGAATTGCAAGAGGCTGGCGTCCTTATCCACATGTGGAACTCCAGAGCCCATCAGTCCTCACCACTGCTGATGGAAAGGGGAGGATAACACTCAGAGGCTTAAAAACTCCAAGCAGCCATCAATTAAATTTCTGCCATTTAACAAGGGTAAACCCTTCCCCTGTGGTTGCCAGCTCCACTTTCATTTTCTTCTAGTAGCAATTACAGGCAAGCCAAGAGAACATCCAATTCTTAAAATAGCCCCGGCTTCTTCTTCTTCTTCTTCTTCTTTTTCCTCCACCCCAAAAAGTGCTGTGAGAGATTCCAGGGAGAGGAGAGGAGTTAATTCACAGGCTCTCCCAGCCAAGCTGAGGTTACAACCTTCTGAAGGTGGAAAAGCCACCACCAAGTCAATTTCTCTCTCTTGATTTTTCTCTTCCAACAGCAGTTTCAACATCCTATACAAAATATTTGGTTATAAGGAATCTCAAAGGTCATCTGCTTCAACCCTCTGCTAAGAAAAAATAGTTACCATGTTCTTCCTTTTTCTGAATTCCCCAGACACATATCACTATGCAGTCTTCTCCTAAGGTTTCCGTCCAAATCTGCTTCCCCATCTCCATTTATACAAATATGCCACAACTGACGCAACTGCTTTTTACCTCAATAAAGCAGCCAAGATCACACACACACACAAAAGCTCACCTGACTGAGCACCATACCTGCCTAGCTTATAGGGTGTTTTATTTTGTATTTAATTGCATTTGATTATATATGTTTTAGTCAGACTGTACTGTATTTTACTATTAACTGCTCAAGAGAACTTTGATTAGTGTATTTTTTTAAAAAAATGAAACAAATGCTTGGCAATTGGTAAGGACTGCCTTTTTCAATCAGCTTTTTTTTCTCTCCTCCATGGAAAAGCTGGGAGAAAGACATTTTGGGATAGGCTGAGCTCTCTTAATGCTGTCCTTCAGGTTTCTTGTTCAGGCACGCAATGCCATTAACTAGCTCAAAAAAAAAATAATCAAGAAAAGCAGTTATTATTATTCAAATCTGTCAGATAACAGCAGAGAACTAGTTTTGCCCCAAGGCCAGGCGATACCTTTAGAATTTTACTTTAGCTAAAGCCGTTTCTGCCAAGGTGGGAAGGAAAGGACCAGTTTATCAAAGGGCATTTCACAGAGCATAGGCACCACTGAAAACCATTGTGCCCCAGTAAGACAGGGCTGGTAGAGTGGCAAAGATGGGTTTTGGCATAAAATGGAGTTGTTGGGACAGAAAAGAGAAGAGAGAGAGGGCAGTCAAAACACACTGCCTGATCCTCTCAATGGGACATTCATTCTGTTCCTCTCCTGTACCAGCAACTCCAAAAAGTTCATTAGAGTATTGGAACATAACCCAACACAAGAACAAGTGCCAAACTTTACGCAACAGATTGCCAAGTTTGGCACAAGAATCTTTGATTCTCTAGCTAAAATTACAAAACGCCTGGGGTTGTTGTAAACCCTGTTTAATGGAGTAATAAGAGGAAGCGATATTTATTAATAAGCAGAATGTCCACGTGTGCTAATCCAAGGGTTGTTTCAATTGAGGATTTGCATTAGCCTGTTTCTGGCAAGGAGTTTTATCCATCAACAAGCAACACTGTTCTTTGCATTCTGATTCAGTTCTGTTGAAAATCCCACCCATGTGCCAAAGTTGAGCTACTGTACTTCTATTGGCCAAAAGGTCCAAGGCCAAAACTGATGCTAATGTACAATTTCTTTTTCCACTTGCACCCATGACTCCCTCGTGATTAATAAAAATATTCTCACCATTAGCCCCCCCCCACACACACACACACATACACGAAAAGGGGGGGAATCAAAAATTTGTGACTGCTTTACCAAAATTTCCCATTTATACAGGAGCAGATCCTGTCATGATGCATCCTGATGGCAATTCAGTCTGGAGAGAGAAAGAGAGAAAAGAAACCACACCATGTCCCCTATCACATCTATCATATCTGGCAGTGACAACTCTTGGGCTGGAGAAACCAGAGGTTTGACTGGATTAGCTAGCTCCTTTTAGACTTGAACGGGGTTTTTTTTTCAGTAGCTACAACCATCCTAAAATAACTCACACACTGAAAAGCATGGGGGGGGGGGGGGAAGACTGCTTGCGATCCTAAGTTCAGAAGGGTGTGAGTGGGCCATTTCTCACCAAAAAGGCAGGAAGATCCTCCAGCCCCAAGTTCATTCTCCACACACACCCCTTAAAAAACAACCCTTCAAAAATG